CCCATATCCTGGATATTCACTCCAGCAGCCAACAGTTTGCAGCATCATACTGGACCCCCAGATTAAGAACATTCACCATGACAGCCATTACCAGGATCAGTAATTGTATAAGACCCCCAGAAATGGTTATGCACCGCATGATCATTCTGCTCTGCCACTCATACTGGACCCCCAGATACAAATATTCAACGGTGGTCACTCCCAGTTCAGTGACATGCTGGAACCTCAGATCATGTGCTGTCACTGCAAAAAATCACAGGAAAGGTAAGCTGTACACTGAGACCTCTGTTGCATCTTTTAGAATCCAAAGACATTTTTTCCTAACTTCTTTATTCACTCTCCTTGTACCGTTTTTTTTACCTTCACTTTTGTTTTTTACAGCATCTATCTTACTATGTGCTTCACTTTTGTTTTTTACAGCATCTATCTTACTATGTGCTTCACTTTTGTTTTTTACAGCATCTATCTTACTATGTGCTTCACTTTTGTTTTTTACAGCATCTATCTTACTATGTGCTTGTAGAACTTCTTCCAATAGGAACTTCTTTTCTGTGCTGTTTCCGGGAGAACCATTTCCACTTTTAGGAAATGGGTGGGACTTGCTGAATGCCTTGTACAGAAATGTTGGCCTCTGCACATGGATTCTCCTTACTGTCATCAACACTGCTTCAGATAGTCAAAAAAAACAGAAAACACTCCAAAATACCTCTACTAGCAGTCTATCTTGCTAGTTGGCCCCGTTGGCTCTCAAAATACCTGAACAATGCGCTGCATCCAATCAGCGGGGCCGACTAACAAGATACTGAAGCTTGGCTCAGCGGGACATTCCTCCATCCACACAGCTTAGTGTAGATTGAGGAATCTGTTGCATTTTTTCCATCTGACCATAGGCTGATAGCAAAAAAAACATATAGAAAATCTATAGGTGTATGGCCAGCTTTACACTGCAATCTCTGGTTGGTTGTGGATCAGTGGCAGAGAAGGGAGTGGTGCACAAAAGTAAATGTATAATGATAGATGAGGTCCTAATGCTTTGCACAGGGACATACTTACATTTTTTTATTTGCCACTGGTATTTTCTTAGCTTTACATACCACAGAATGACAATGCATGATGATTAAAGGAGAACTATGGGGTTAAGGCTTTTCCCCATAGTTCTCCTTAGGGTAACGGGAGGACACAAACTAGAGTCCTATCTAGGGAGGAGACAAACTATCTAGAGGCAGAGCCAGCTGTACCCACCCCCTCCCCCGTCCGTTCTGCCAGTCAGCGTTGGCGGATCGGGGAATCCAGCCCCTCCCCTGTCATGGCAGAGAGCCGTGACAGGATCGAGAGGTAAGCGAACAACGGTATCTGTTCGCTCACCTCCCGATCTACTGAGCCGGCCTCTGACAGTCTCATTGCCACAGGTCAGCTAGAACTATGAGGTGAGTGAAAAGCTCTCACCTCATAGTTCTCCTTTTAAGGATTCCTCCTAAGTTTTTGTCCTGGTGACAATTGTCAAGTGAATAAACAGAGGTTTTAATCTCCCTAGCAGAGACACAGAAAGCAATAAAAACGTGGCAGAGGGTCTAGCTTTTCCCATTCTATCAAAAACTATAAAAGTTATCAGTGTGGGACCTAGAAAGCAGATAATAGCAGCAGCAGCAAAAAAACAAATAAGTGTGTTATAAACATAAAAATTTGTTGCCGATTTAGTGAGCCTAAAATTTCTCTACAGGACTAAAAGTTTTAGGGCTCATATAGACAGCTGTTCTTGTCAAACACATCCTTTTTTATTCAACACAACACTGCTTAAACATGTGTTGGAATGAAAAACAGAGGAGGGAATTAATGAATGTTTTTGCGACAGAAGTTTTAGGTCCAAAGACCAAAATGTCAGGTAACTAACCTCAAAGTTTTAGCTCTGCTGTGCATCTTATTTTTAAGTGTTCTTGCAACATTTTAAATGTTGACCACACGCTGCACGTTTTGCAACATTTCTCAACTGCGCAGTAATTGCATCCAGCATTTGCAACTTTAAATACCCTCCAAACTGCCACACATTCTAGAAGTCCTCCTGAACACATCTTAAACTATTGTAAAGATAACTCGGCTAAGAACTTCTGGATTTTTCAGCTGTCATCCAGGGGGTACCCAGCAAACTTGTGACAATTTAGAGACAGTGTTGAGACAATCCTCCTTCTGAGGGCATTTAGTAATGAACATACACTAGGATAATAAATCTGTCGCTATATGCAGTAGAAATCAAGGATGCCACAGTTTGAAAGACATTGATGATGCTCCCAAATTGAAAGATTACCACCAGAGTGTTTGACAAGAAAAGATTGCATTTGACCTTAATAGGACATGCAGTGTCCAAAAGAAGGTAAAGCAGATCAAACACATTCTCTGAACTGTCCTCTACCCTTCTCCATTAAGTCAATGAAAGTTTGCTAACCTGCGTCTGACACACATTAAAATGCCTGTCTACATAAGCCCTTACTATATGTCATTCAGCAGTCTGAGGCTACCAATGCAGACTTCCAATATAAAAATAAAGCAGAGTTTGCATTTGTGCCCTCCACATATTCCTCATAAGTCTCTGGTCACAAGAACCATAGGAATCTCACTAGTACAGAAGCACTGATCAATTAGAAGTAGAGCACAAGAAGAAAGCATGGTGAGTGTAAGACTGGATGCAGCCAACTGGAAGGTGCTAACCATAGAAGACACAGGTGGGAGGAGAAGAGGAGTCGGGTGAGTCATGGGCTCTGATGGAGGATATAAAACAATGGTGCAGTTGATAATACAGGACATCGCTGACAAAGAGAACAGAAGTGACAAGAGGACTCTAAGCAACTTCGACCCGTTGAAGTGAGAAGAATAGAGAGCTCTCGGCGCGCCTCAGGTGACAGGGTGTCCCCAATGGCGCTCCTGCGAGGCACCATGCTGTTCGCAGCTGGGCTGCTGATGCTTGTGTCTGCGCTGCCCGGAGAGCTGAGGGGACAGAGGAGCCCGGTGACCGTCAGCGAGTACGGGGTGAAGCTGTGCGGACGAGAGTTTATCCGTGCTGTCATCTTCACGTGCGGGGGGTCCCGCTGGAAGCGGCTGGATGTAGAGCTACCTGAAGATGAGCAGAGGGAGTCCGGCTTCCTGAGGAGAGGTGAGCAGCCCGCCAATTTCCACCAATCTCCTGCGCTGTAGGCAGCTCAGAGCAAGTTCGGCACGTTACCGCCTCATCAGTGTCCTGTGTGAGAAGAATGTTTTACATTCTCCAACTATATGCTGCTTATTAGACCTCAACAATTGGCAAGCCAAAACATTTCTTTATTCAAATTTTAGCTTATTTAAAAAAAAGTCTGCCAGGATTGCAGACAATCTTTCATTGATCATAACACCTGTATTTATACATTTCTCAAGTTTTCTAGGATGTTTAGGATGGTTTAATGATCATTTTCCATGTATAAACAATTATTTTCATTAACAATCCAGTTTAATATGGCCAAATAATTTTTTTGTGGTGTTGAACGGTTGCCTTTGAGTTTAAGAAAATTTGAAAGGATCAAATCTATGCTCAACTATTTACTATTACATATATAGCCAGCATAGAAATCATCATCTGAAATGAGAAACACACTCATACATTTTGGGAGGGACATGTGGATAGTGATACCTTTTATTTTAATTTCAAAGTTTGGTAAGTGACCATCAGTGTGTCAGGGTTGACCATTAGTTTCACCTATCTTTACTTATACATCATAGTATTCTTTTTACATTGTTGAAAAGTTGTTCTTAATCATTTACAGGTCGAAGGGTGGAGAGTTTGTGGAAGGCAGGAGAAGTGAACAATCTAAGACAAAATAGCTGATTTGGAAAAATTCTCCAGTTCAGCTATGTTGTCCTAGATTGTTCACTTCTCCTGCCTTCTCCAAACTCCTCACACTTTTGTAAATTACCCCTTTAAGTTTGTTCAGCAAAGTCCTTTTGACAGCTTTGTTGCCCCCTTCGTGGCAAGATGTTTTTAATAAAGAAATTCAGGCATAAGTATTCTTAACACTTTCAGTGGGGCTACCCCCGCAATGCAAGGGTTAAGTGCTTGATTTTGTTTAGGGGTGAAAATAAGATAATGAATAATAAAAATAATAATATATTATGTAAAAATATACATAATAAAATAATATAAAAATAACAAAGTTATACTTTCATGAACCTCGCAGCCAGCTTGCTGTTAGATCAGCCTCTTAAGCCAGTCTCCCGCTCTGACAGTCAAAAGTCCTGTGAGTCATCACGTTCTATACTGTGTATGAGACGTGTGGACGCCAAGGAACATACCATCCCTAAAGCGATGGTCAGTATATCTTTGTTACTTTCATCCCTAGACAAAAACGGATATTTAACCATTGCAGTGCAGTTTCAAATGTTGACTAAGGTGATATTTTATTTCTGAAAATGCACTACCTTTTGGTCATATAAAACAATACACAGGAGTTTAGCACAGGTGGGGGAATCAAGTGGTTTTCTTTTTCTCTCTGTCATTCAAAGGGACTGATACATTTGCAGTAAGCGTGGCTATCGTTGGTCCATGCACCAGTGCTTTAAAATATAACAATAGGCTTTTGTATGCATGCCTTTGTTTTTAAGAAGTTTTGCCAGACAAGCATTAACAAATTACAAAAGTTATTTATTAATACATAAACATACAAAAACATCCAATAGATAGAACAAAGCAGATATTGATTATGGTTATTTGACCAATTAGGTTGTACAGTACAAATGAATACACTGAAAAAGGTCAATGTGTTTCATAGAATTATTTCACTTCTTTGGGACCAACATGAATGGCATTCATGTGTTTCATACTCTTTATAGAAGTAATTCAATGGTCTTACATCAATATCTTGTACCACAGATATGTGCAAAAATATAGATGATAACCCTCTCAATAAGGTATGCTACAGCCAACAGGAGTAATTCAGTGCTAGGTCTCCTTTGCCACCCTGGCAACTGCCAACCAGCCCCTCCACCAAACTGCCAGCAGTGAGAGCCACAGGGCCTAGTATTGGCTTACTCCAGTTGGCTGTAGCACAGTTTATTAGCTTGTGAGCAGAGAGTGACTTATTGTCTTTAGACTGTTTTTATTTTTGATGGACATTTTTTTCAAATACCCTTGTTAGAAGATCACTGAATTACCTCTGTAAAAAGTATTGAACACAGGAATGCCTTTCCGTTGGTCCTGAAGAAGGGGAACAATTCTACGAAATGCGTTGACCTCTTTTCATTGAAATTGAATTTTTACAGTGTATCAATTTGTAAAGTACAAGTCTAATTGGTCAAATGACTATAGTCTATGTCTGCTGTGTACTGAGAGTTTTTGTATCTAATAGATGTTTTCCTATGCATTTCCAGCATGTTGAAAAATCTCCTTGTAATTTATAACCCATCATTGCCTATTCTTTTAGAAAAGTAAATTTTCTACCACATGCGTACCATGTCCATCCTTAAGCCAAATCGATATTAAGATCAAGGCAGGTCCTTTTGGTGCACACTTTGTTCAAGAATGGACAGATGTCTTGCCACCTGTTCTCAGGGACACCTCTGCACATCTGAACCTAGCTAAATTTACATTCTGCTAGTCAATGTCCGATATCAATGTATTTGTTAAGAGTTTGCAATAAAGAGCAACAAATAAACTGTGTATTAACATGTTAGTGGATATGGAAATATAAGATTTTTATGGACATTCATTCTGAAGGGTAATCTATAGTGTTTGGACACCAATCAGTGTCAAGCATTTCCAGTTCTATGCAAATTCCTGCTATGGATTGTTTTTATGAATTTATAAAGTAAAAAGGATTTTTTACATTGTTTTTGGATAATCTATAACACTATTATCTAGCTTCACAAACCAACTACATACTTTTCAATATGTACTAACATTTTTTGTAATATCAAATGAATAGTTATGAGGAATAGAAAACTTCTGCAAATTGTAACGTAATCGTAACATAGCCAAAATCAAGTATCCTAAACTCTCAAAACTGGTGGCTTATCCTCATCCTTTCAGGTGCTGTTGGGTATACTTAGAATCGTCTGTTGTCCAAACAGCTGATATTTCTTCATTTTTCAAATAACCACTGTAGCAGGTCATCATGTAGAGAGCAAGGAGAGGTCCTGTCTGGGGTTTATGTGTCACCCAGATTCCTCTCTTACACCTTTCAGAACCTCTAGTAAGCCCCAAGTTTTACTCTTTGCCTCAGTGGCAATTTAGTGCAGGTGAGGCAAACAGACAGTGCTCTGGAGCCTGGGGAGCAGACAGTCTCTCTCTGCTGGAGCACAAGGTTGGTCATGGTGGTTTGCTGAAGCCTGACAAACAATAGGTTTGTACAGGTTGGCAGTCAGGACTATCGTATGTTTAGTTAGTGCTGGGACACGGCTAGGATTTTTCTTGCTTGCTTTAGAAACTGCAGCTTGACATTGCATGCTACTATTCAGTCTATGATCTACCAGAACACCCAGATCTTTCTCCATCATTGACTGCCCCAAACATACCCCCCTAGAGTGTATGACGCATGCATGTTTTTAGTCCCCAAGTGCTGGAACTGAGCAGACAATCAATTCACCACTGCTTACTACTCAGGGAACTCCGGGCAATCAATGGGGGAACCCTGGTTGACCTAGGTTGATCTGACATATCTTCATATCAGGCACAAAATATTGGGCTGTTACCACAAATGATAGATAATTTATTTGTCTTGAGCTTTTATTTTAACACAGAACTGTTTATCTTTTGTATTCACAATAAATATTTGCGCAGCAATTTATTTTCCTTAGTAGAGAATAAGGATTGTCTGTCTTCTAAAATGTTAGTCTACTAGAACATAAAAAATATTGATTTTATTTAATAAGGTAAAACCAAACTTAAGGTCATTACCTGGTTGCCATGTACTCTGCCCAAAGCATACTGCCTCTTCAGGTATGACTGTTGGAGTGTGTAGTTTTAATAGAAGATTAGAATAGCTTTACTAGATAACATAGGTTCTCAACAAAGTTAAATAATACTTTCTGAAAGTGAACACAGGTAAATATTGAGAAATTTGCTAATTGTGACACATTTTTATGTTTTTGTTTTTTCCTAAGATAATTTGCAGGATTCCACTAACAGAGAAATAAACCAGCTGATGATACAGACACTTTTAGGAACTAACCTGGAACAACTTCAGAAGCCTGATTTCCACTTACAACAGCAGCAGCAGTTATTGAAAGATCCCTTTATCGCCTATGATGATTTCAAAGACCGCATACCAGCATCCGAGGGTTTTAGTGAGTACATGCATCAAGTCGAAGATACAGATCGAAAAATTCAGCGTGAATCTCAGAGCAGTGGTACTCGAGGTTCAAATTTGTTCCCCTGGACAGCATTCTCTAGGACAAGAAGAGAAATGTCTATTGGAGTGGCAGGCATTTGTTGCAAATGGGGCTGCACAAAATCCGAAATCAGCACCTTGTGCTAAGTGAAGAGATTAATGATGTACATCTCATATACCGTTTGTTTGCATAGACTTAGTATTAATGTGAACTACAAGAGTAGTTCACAAACACTGACTATACCGATTATTTGGTTGATCACTCTTTGTAATTTAACCAAAGGCCTTTTGTGGCTTTATGTTAGAGGGGCCCTTTTTTATTAAAATGTTATTTAATTTTCTGTTTTTTATTAACCAATTATTTGATGTTGTTGAAACATGACAGGAATCAGGTTGGATTTAAAATGTGAGTTTAGAGCTCGGGAACTTTGTAAATGTATGACTGTAGAATGCAAGGTTATCATTCTGTTAATGTAGCGTTACAGAAATGCTGAACAGAGCATAGGCAATGTTTACGTTCAGCAATTAGAAGCAAAAACAAGGACTTCAAATTAATTTATTTGCCGTTATCTTTCTAAGAACTTTCCCTCAGCCTCTTCCTCAGAGTTGAAGCTGATAGGTGGTTTGATCAAGTAACTCCAGTTCTTAGTAAGAACACATTAATAAATACATCAGGTCCTAGGTGTTTTACTTCAAGTAATAGAAAACCTATTAAAAGAAAACGTGTTGTTTGTGAGCTTTGCTTACTGTTTACTAACTGGAAAAAATGTCTGTAAATGAGATTCCATAACACGTGTCTCTTGTTAGAGCATCCCAAAAGGTAAAGTTAATGCCCATTTCCCATTGTATGCAAAAGCTAAACAGGATATAGTGAAACTCCTGTTTTTCAGCTACCATACCAAAATATATATGGTATACAAAGTTTTTCAGTGAACATTCCTTACAATTGTAAAAAAATACTTTTTTGTGTGGTTCTGTAGCAGGCTATGTGCTCTTGCTATTTGAGCAAGAAAAGGGCCCCTTTACATGTGGGAGACGATAGAGCTCACCTCACATAAACTGTAAGTGTAGAAATATGGAAGCTGCCATTGCAAATTTATTTATCGGTGCAAGCTTTGATACTGTCAAGCTCCTCTTTGCTTTATACCTTTTGTGAGTCAGTGATCTGGTACAGGCATGTGCATGTCATGAGTCGAGACAATGACACACATGCTTGTTCTGGGTCAGTGATTCAGTAAGCAGTGTAGTAAGAACAAGGATGACAGGCTTCAAATACAGGCTAGCAATGGCAGCATCAATATTTCTATCCCGATTAAAGATAGCTCCAGTATCTGAAAGATAGATTCAGTACCATTATTATATATGTCCAGTTCTTTGCTGGTAGTTAAGTAGTAAAAATGGTTACCAAAACATTCCATTGGACATTCAGGATGAGGCACAACCCCACAATCCATTAAATTAAAAGCTTTTCTAAAATCTACTCTTGTGCAGGCACAATATTACTGGGCAAGCATGGAAGCTTTCCTGATGTGCACAGTTACTGCTATCCAAACTGAATCCTACACAAACATACATTTTTCTTTTGATTTTTGAACCAATATAGTGTATCCTCATTAAATGATTTATTCTAAATGCACTCTTTATTTGATTGGGTGGTGGTGGGGGGATGGGAATCTAACTGTATGAAATTTGTAGAGCACGTTTATCCATGAGTTATTGGAAATGCTTCATAAAGGTATATAACTGTTGTGTTAATCCCAGTTACTTTGATTTATCAGACAAATCTAATGAAAAGAATTGCTAAATGCACCACATGCCAACTCAAACTCAGATTAATACATATCTAATAAAGTACTTTAAGCAAACAAATTCTGCCCATTGGAGTCTTCCTTCCATTTTTCAGCAATTTACTTTCATAAATGGTGCTTTGGTTTAAAAATAAAGTGCAGAGAAGTTTTTGGCTTAGATAACACGATGTGAACAATCAGTAGGCACAGTATTAGTATTAAACATATTAGGATAAATATTATTTAACTATTAAAATATTCTTCTTGTCAGTTTAATGTAAAACATTTGAAGGCTTCATGATTCATATAGTATCTGTTGGTTTCTCTTCTGTAATTATCCATATTATTTGCAATGCTTTGCATAAGTATTAAACAGTCTAAAAAAACATAAATGCCTTTGGTATATATATCTACCTTTTAATTTATACAACATACTCAACACATTGAAGTGACAAGGTTTTTGCTCTATTGCAAACCTAACCAAAAAACATACATTTGTTGGTTGTACAAGCTTTACCCCAAGCCAGTACTTAGAACAACTTTTGGCTGCAGTTACAAGACCTTTTAGATGTAAGTATATTTTGCACATCTGCATACTACAGTTTTACCAATTTTTGTTTGGATACATTTTTCTAGCTTTTGCAGTTTGGATGGAAGCAATTAGTGAACGTCAAGTCTGGCCACAAATTGTTATTGACTTTCACTGGGCCATGCCAAGACATTCTGAATATTGGTTTTACCTTCCTTAGTGTTAACCCCAAAGCATTACTTGTTATGTAAAAACAGTTAACCCGAGCACCATTCAGAATAGCCGGTTTTACATAAAACCCTGAGCCAGAGTAACGATCAGGGTTAATGCCAAGGAGGCCAGAACCTTAGGAATAGCAAATGGTGGAGGATGTGTGAGCATCTGTTCCCTGATCCTTGTGAACCTAGAAGCGCTCTGCTCTGAGCTCTTCTTGGTTTGCGGCTGTACGATTCTGGCTGCCTGCTGCTAGAAATGTAGACAAATAGAGTACTGTCTATAGTCTGTTTGTAAGCAGTGGATGGGAAACACCAAGGTTTTTATGGACCACTGTTGCCTCCATAAAGATGATTTGTCACATAAAATGTATTACCACATAGGGGCATGTTGGGTCCCCTTGTTATATTATATACTAATATTGTTAAAAACAAAAAAAAGAAAGTGTTTTAGAATGATGAAATCTAAGTATTTAAAGCAAACTTTTTTTATTAAAGAATTACTGCCCCCCCATGCGCCCACATATATGCACGCATTTGTATGTAAATAGAGATTGGACTACACATATTGCTGCACTCAACTGAATGAGAGGAATAGTTCAAGGACCATTATTTATGAATAACTACACTGATGATCTGTAAAGATTTTAAAAGTGTCATCTATGTCTGTACTATAATTTTTTGTCGTTGTGCGGGCGGACACGAATTTAACCAGTTGACATCCGCGGTGTTAAACCCCCCTTCCCATCCAGGCCATTTTTCAGTATTCAGCGCTGCGGTACTTTGACTGACATTTATTCCGTCAATTGTCATATTTGGTATCTATTTACTTAACAGTCTCACAGATAAGGACCCCACTTTTCTCTGACTTTCCTGAGCTGCAAATTTGATCCAGGCCAGTGAACTGGGCAGTATGAAGCCAGTGGAGTGGCTAATGTAAACCTTTCATGAAACAAAGAAATGGGCTGCCACTGCAGACCTCCAAATGAAAATTCTACCTGCCTTGCTCACTTTTTTCAGCCTACTCCCAATGAAGCTTGGGGCCATTTGTCAATAAAGCTGAACATCTGCCCCAATCATAGAGTTCTTTCTGACTAAAAATAGGGGATGATTTACTAGCAATTAAGTTGTTCATATTGCAAGGGAATTTGCATTATGCAGGGGAAATTTCCACTAAGTTTAGCGTATGAGGGAAAGCTCTGCTGACTTCCATCACCCAATCATGTGCAAGCAAATATACAGGTTTTTTTTTTCTTTCCATTTTCCTTGCACAAAATTGTGTATTCTTGGCAAAGTGAAATTTCACTACATTTACCAAGCTAAGTAGAAACTTCCCCAGCACGGTGCAAATTCCCTTGCAAAGTGAACAGCCTATTTGTCTTTGGCAAATCAACTTCATAGTGTTTCGCTCAAAGGCCAAGTTATATTAAAGTAGTATTAAAGGCACAGCATGTTTTACCTTAATGCATTCTCTGCATTAAGGTAAGAAACGCCCAGTACCTTTTTTGACTCCCCCCTACACTTACCTGTCACCGCTGCTGGTCCCCGCAGCAATCTTCCATCCCGAACTTCCTGGTTGTGGGGGGAGAAGGTTGAGGTCAGAATATGTCTTCAAGAAGAATATAGCAAGTTCAGTTGCCTTGACTTATTTTTTATAGATGTTTGAGGTCAGAGGAGCCATAGGCTCCTTCTGCCGGCAACCAACCTGTCGGGCGGAGAGGAGGGGCGTGACCTGCTGCAGGGCTGTGTGTGTCTGTGGATGCACACAGCTACTGCGGGCATGGCCGGGAATGAGCACGCACAGGTGCCTCCACAGCAGCTGCTTAGCTGCTGCTGGCACCCATGCAGGGGGCCGGTGGAGAGAGGATGCGGGCCCGGCGACGGAGGAGGGAAGACGGAGGAAGAAGAGGCGGACAGGTAAGGAGTGTGACCAGCCAATCTGCACGGTCACCCTCAGGTGAGCTATGTGGGCTCTTTAAGGGGTGTAACTAGAAATCACAGGGCCCCATACAAAATTTTGCTATGGGGCCCTGTGATTTCTAGTTACGCCCCTGCTGGCCATTAAAAAAAAAAAAAAAGAAGACAAGCATAGATCACTGCCACTTCTACATGTTACAGTCAAGAGAATACAGGTTTTATTTTTTTCAAACACACGTTCTAAATATACAATACATAGTGTGATTTAAGGCATTACAATTAAAAATGGAAACATTTTACATTTTTGATTGTATTTAATTCCAAAAAAGTGTTGGTCACAAGACTTTTTTTTTTTGCTAATGCTGCTTTGCAGGTCTTAAACTTGGGCCTAGTCCACACCTCTGTTAATTTCGTTGCCAAAACATTTTTGTCATAGTTTTCATCAGCTGCGTGCTTTCAGTGATGACAACTAAATAAAAACTAAGTTAATAGGACTAAAACTGTGAGAAAAATACATTGCAATTTTTGTTGAACACAAACGTGATAAAAATGGGAGGGACTAGTTCACTTACATATTTGGACTTCCAGTTCCCTTGGAGCTCCGCCAAAGCCCCAGTCCCCTGCCTCTATCGGCAGCTGGATTGGCTGAGACGCAGGCTCCATTGGTCTCCCTGCTGCCTGGATCAACGCCCTGCAAACTGCAGCGGATACTCCTCCATCAGTTACTAAAGACGTCCTATATCACAACGGCTAAATCTGCATTGCATGTTCAAACCTTAATACCGTGTGTAATAACAGGTTAATGGAGGTTTACTCCAGGAATATATAATGAGGGGAATTTATCAAAACTGGAGCAGATTTGCACTGTAACCAATCAGCATCTCTATTTCATTTTCAAATCTTACCTGAGCAAACTAAAGAGAGATGCTGATTGGTTGCCATGGGCAGCTGCTCCAGATTCTGTCTACTCCAGTTTTGATAAATTCCCCCCAATGATTTTAGAATTTCTAGAGAATTCCTTAAATAATGTGTTACACTTTAAATAAACCCATTCGATTTTAGTTGAATAAACCTACTGGAGATTTAGTCAACA